GAAGTTGCAAACTATCACTGTAAATTTTACTCATTATATAATATATAATCAAAAATAGGAGGTAACATAAAGTTGAAATTTTGTAAATGAGATTACCTGCTTATTAGTCACACTTAATTGTTGAGCAGTATAAGGATTCATCTTTTCAGCATCTTTTCCCAAGATGGCCGATTCTATAGATGCAACTTCATTGTAAATCATGACTTGAAGACGGTATCTGCGTGTATCATTATTATAGAATTGTAATTTTTCTATGTGTTTGGTAATAAGTAATCCATTGTGTGTAATATTTTATATGTTCATCAAACCTTGGTTCAACAGCAGCTTCTTCTTTGCAAGATAGGCATTTTATACTCCAACCTAATCGAGCTTCAACATTCTTCTTGCAATTTCCACAAGCAGTGTACCAAGGCGAACGATGGGGATCAACTAATTTCAACCTTCCTTTCACCCACGCGGTTTTGTTCTGCTTTATGAAATATATATTGAAATACTTTTATAATAATGAAAGTATACGAATTATATTAGATATATGGTTGAATAAAAAATGAGAGTTCATATTTTGTGCTTACATCTTTTAAAACATTCACAGCTGAGTGGACGTCAATGATATATTGTTCATCTGGAGGTGACAGCAAGAAGTCTGGGTTTTTGTAAACAGCTGAGTTGAGATTTGCAGTTATAATCGCTTTGTTTTCCTTGTACCTGTATCATTTATATATTACAATAAGTACATTTTTAAAATGTTAAAGTAATTTATTAGGGACAAGTTAGTAGTGTGCAATTTTGTTCAACCATTGCTTCAAAGTTATGACTTGTGGCAATGGAGGATTGATCAAGATGGCACTTGCGATTTGATTGATTTGAGTGCTCAGTGATAAATCTGCAAAAATTATATTTCGTACATAAAAACAATAGTTAAATGTATATATCTTATTTATGGAGAAAGATATAATATATAAGTAGGTTATAAAAATTAACTTACTGTTAAAAGTAGTAACTTTGATTCTCATGGCAACAATGACATTACCACTTGCTATTGTGTTTGCAAGTTGGCTTCCTTCATGCGTGCAATAATCGTTCCATAATGTCAACAACATGCATATTTTTTAGTAAAATGAGAGTAAAAATTAGATAATTGGGTTAAACTTTGAAAAGTATATTAAATGTACTGTTGCTCACTCTTCATTGACTATGACAATGTCCCGTGTTTGATTTTTGCCAGCTTTAAGTGGGAATACATGCACAACAATCCCCATGACATCTGTTTGAAATGTGTTTAGTTAATCTTTGTTTAGAAAATAATGTTAAAAACAAAAAATAGATGGCAAAATTGTATAAAGACACAACTGAAATTGTAACAGTAAGATATTTGACAAAGATAACACGCTACGTAGTTTGTACTTAACACCATGATATTCTTCATCCATCAATCTTGGCTAGAATCGCTGCTCACTTAACTTCACATACTCATCATGCTATATGATAATATCACAAATATATTTCATTATTGGCCAATATGCATAAACAATAATTTTACATAATAATAATAATAATAATAATTTAAAAAAACTTAAGAAGCTGCTATACATTTTTTTCTTAGTTACCAAGAAAACTACATAATAAACATCTTAAAACACACAAAATCATTGAAGAAGAAGAAGAAGAAGAAAAAGAAAAAGAAGAAGAGAAGAGAACTTACATTTCTACTGGGAAGATAATAGCGAATGAATATTGTACACGAAAGTCCTAGATGTACTTATCTATATCCTTCCAACAAATATTAAAATATAGCAAAATAACACACTCAACATTAAAATTTTTCTCAATACCTGTTAAAAAATAATAATAATAATTATATATTACTTATCAAAACAGTAGGCATCAAATCAGGTTGCTTGTAGATGAATATAGACGGCCACATATCAACGAAAAAAAATATTTTGACAAAAGGCTGCAACTACCTATACTCCTAACCCTTATTGTAAGGATTACCAAGATGACTCATCAAAATATTACATAAGGCTGCAAAATATATTATTATCACACATAATATTGAAATACGATTTAAAAAAACAGCAATTATAGCAAAATAACACACTAAACATTCAAATTTTGCTCAATACCTGTTAAAAAAATATAATTATATTATCACTTATCAAAACAGTAGGCATCAAATCAGGTTGCTTGTAGATGAAAATAGACGGCCACAGATCAACGAAAAAATTATTTTGACAAAAGGCTGCAACTACCTATACTCTAACCCTTACTGTAATGATTACCAAGATGACTCATCAAAATATTACATAAGGCTGATAATATTGAAATACGATTTAAAAAAACAGCTATGTACATAAAATTATACAAACAATTGATTTGAAATTATAAGCCCATTAAACTAACGAAAAAAATGATAAATCATATATGCTGGAATTAGACTAAACATTGAGTTTTAAGAAAAACTCCCTCTAATATCTTTCAAATGCATGAAACTTGAGCGCAAATCTTCACATCCCAATAAACATATTTATAAATCCGAGCTTGAGCCGTGATTTTCTGAGAAAACTGCAAAATACGAAAAAATTTAGAGAAATCTAAACCAAGTAAATTGAAACTAAAAATAAATTAGAGAAAAGATACAAGAGCTATATTACCTTCAACCGAAAAAGAAAAAAAAAAAAAGAAACGACATCCAAATTAAAGGAATGATGAAAAGGCAAAAAAAAGTAAATTGATTTCAATAGAAAAGATGAGGATGGATTGGAAAAGAGGAATGTGTAGATCTTGATTGTGGAATCGTAATTACAGAAGTTGCGTTGAAGGTCAAAATTGTATTTGAAAAAAAAAAATGCTCATGCGTGGCACTATGCGATTAAAATATTTGCTTTGCTTTGCTATCTTGCACATATCTTTTGTGTGGAATTGTAACTACAGAAGATGAATTGAAGGGCAAATTTGTCTTTTAAGAAAAATGATCCTACGTGGCACCATTGGAGGGAATGGATGGGGAAGATGAATTGAAGGGCAAATTTGTCTTTTAAGAAAAATGATCCTATGTGGCACCATTGGAGGGAATGGATGAGATTAAAATATTTGCTTTGCTATCTTCTTATTATATATAGAAGAAAGATTTATATTTAATTTTGTTACACTTTAATTTTGATATAACTATATTTCACTGTAAATAAATATTAATTGCACAAATTAAAATTTCAAAGCAGGACAATATGGTAACTAATCCACTGCATTCATGCGCAAGGATACATGGTAAGAGCATCTTCAATGCTCCACTTTGAACATTAATTAAATTTAAACACATGTCAAATGATGAATGGAATGTAAATCCATGTAATATGAATGTCAAAATAGAAGACTTTAATTTGGAATGCACATCTCCAATGCATCCCTTTCAAAAGCTTAAAATAGGTTAGATTTTTTATGAGTTGGCTTTCAAACACTCTTTGGAAAACTATAAAGTGAGCTTCACACTTTGGATATTTATTGTCTCCATGTCAGCATAAAAAAGTCCGTAACATTATGGGTTGAAGAGTAATTTTTGTAATCACTTTATAACTTGATGATGTGGTTAACATTTTATTAAGTGAACATCTCACATTGGAGATGCTCTAAGTGAATAAGATACAGTCTCTCCTGGATCTACAAGTAATGGAAAGTCATTATGGTAATCAACTTCATCAATGTAAGTAGAAATATAGTAAGTATATATATTAGATACATAAATTCTTTTTCTATAAAACTAGTACGTACCCGTGCGATACACGGGACAGGGATATTAAATGAGTTATTTTCATGGCCTTGTCCGTTTAAGTCTAAAAAATAATAGGGTTATTATCTATTTTCTACCTCTTTTAATCAACGTTAAATCTAAAAAACAATAGGATTATTATAAGTTTTTTTCCACATCTTTTAACCATCGTTGTTTTTTTAGCCAGTACATTATAGCTAACATTGAAGGGGAAGGTCATAAGCGTCTATACCATAAAATCAATTTTCGACGGAATGAAAAAAGACATATATGGTATAATTTATAAAATTACAAAAATAGTTTTATTTATGACATAATTATAGCTAACATTTTTATTCATGACATAATTTTTTTGTAATTTTATAATTATTTAATAAAAAATATAGTAATTATTAAAAATAAATTAACTAAAAAACTAAATTATTATAAAATTAAAAAATAGTTTCGTTCATGACATAATTATAGTTAAAACTTTTTTACTATATAAAATTATAAGAAGAACAATTATGTCATGAATAAAGAATGTTAACTATAATTATTTGACGAATAAAAATATTTCGTTTTGTAATTTTATAATAATTAAATATTAAAAAAAAAGATAAAAGAATACCTATTAAAATAACACATCACAAAATAAAAGTAATTAAAAATATTTTCTAATTTTATTATTTATATTTTATCCTTATTCATAATTAAAATTTTTATAAATATTTATAATAAATAATTATATGTATATTCATAGTATTGTCTTAGAGTTACTTAATAATATACTTATATTAATTAATTAATATATATATATATATATATATATAATTTATATAACAAACGAAGAGCATAACAATATACAAAATAAGAAAAAATTCAAAATTAGTCTCGCAGGTGTAAGGCCATGCCACGTGTGATGATTGTTGCCAATGTGTCAAGAAAAAACGTCATCTCTGCGCCACATGGCATATCGGGCCTTTTGGACCCGAAATCGCATCAAAAGTCCTACGTTTGATTACTTTTTGAAAGTTGTGGGACTATTTGTGACTTTCACTATTTTGCCGGACCAAAAATAGCACCCCTCAATCTGTAAGACTAGTTTTGAATGTTTCCCCACCGAATTGTACCTTAACAACAACAATACGGATTAATTTATGAAAATCAAAGAATAAAACACAGGCAGTAATAGCTAAACTCTCTTTAGATAACTAATAACAATCCGCTTAATTAGATGAAGAAAGAAACCAAATCAGTTGAATTTAGGCCAAATTGAGTATGTAATATACTCTTCTGCCATAGCACCACACCGAACCCAACCCACAAACAAATCGTCAAGACTCCGAACCGAATCCTTGTTGTCCATCTCGAAACTTATTAGCTCTTCCAAATTATCATCTTCCACCACCACATCATCATCAACATTATGACCAAAATACCCTCCATCCACATTATTATTCCCACATCCGGTTTGTGGCGTTAGGCTTTCATGGGGCCTACTTTGATCACCCAAAGTCGAGAGCAAGTAAGCCAATCCCTTTTCTTCATCCGGCCCAGGCCCACTATCCGATTCACCAAGCCCACGGCCCGGCCCACTCTTCCTCTTTCTCTTATTCTTCTTCCTCCTGAGAAGGCAAAGCACATAGTCCTTAAACTCCGCTTTCACTTGCCCCAACTTGTGTTCCGGAACCATATACTCCTTCAGAATCCACTCCCCGAAATAATCGGCGCTCGAACAGTACTCTTTCCTGGCCACGTAACGGAAAGTCCGCTTGTAGCCCAATAATTCGCCCCTCTCCCCGTTGATGAACACGCGCTGGCCCTTGTTCGACCACGTGCCTTTCCCGATGTTGCGTGAAAACCGCTGATTATTATTATTGTTGTTATTATTAATATTATTATTATTTTTGGCGACCCTTTTGAGGCGCGTGTAGAAATAGCGCTCTTGGTGTTCGTCCTCGGGGGAGAAGAACTCCCAGGGCTCCTTTTCGCCGAAGAGGTCGGCGGTGGATATGATGAGACGGTCGCCGGCGATAGGGTTTCCGGTGACGGCGCCGAGGAGGTAGCGGCAGCACTCTTCGTCGGTTGGGTGGAATCGCACTCCCATTGGGTAATTATCGACTGGCGCCGCCATGGATTTTTTTTTTTTTTTNCTGCGATCGGTTCTTTTGAATTAATTGGAGTTGTTAAACCTAAGAAGAACCTTTTCCAAAATCGATGTGTATATATATATATATGTGTATGTATGTATTGTCCGATGTCAGTGCGGTAACGGTTTAGGACGTTGGTCTTTTTTGGGTCTTTTGGAAAGTCGATACCAAAAAGGAATGAGATGTGCTGTTATCACTTGGGAGATAACTAATACTTAATTGTATTAGGAAAGAATTGATTGTATTAAGTTGTTTGAATTAGGGGATTGGGTAAAATTGTTTGGTAACTAATTTCGGTAAAAATAATTTTTTTTTTATATAATTTCTAAATGTACTTATTAGAAGGGGCGGACTCTTATCTTTAGCTTAATTGACATAAATTCTTGTATTTACACATGTATATGGTTTTGACTGTGTGCTTAGTTGACAAATAGATATATATATTCTTTTTATCTATATTTTATTTTTTATATATAATATACCAAAAGAATCATATTTTATCAATCTTCGATTTGACATTCATATTGCGAATATAAGATAAAAAATAATTTTATTTATCTTTATAATAAAACTAATTTTGTTTATCAAATCAATTTAAATATCAAATAATAATATAAATTATTTTATAAAACTAATAAAAATTTAATTCATTAATACGCGATAAAATAATCATTTTAATGAAGTCTTTTTCCATAGATTTTGGATGAAATTTGAAAATAAAGTACTACATAAATAAATTTTAAGCAAAAGTATAAAATATTATTTCTTGATGTAAATAGATTATAATATTGAATGTTATAATGTTACTTACATAAGAAATAAAAGGGATATTTTAATTAAAAATAATTTATAAACTTAGAAAATAATGTATTCATGCGTAAATTAACATTCTAAATAATTTTTAAAATATAATTAAAAAATATCATTCTTGGTATATTTAGTGTATTTTAATACAGGTGCCACTTTAAAATAATTATCACTTGTTTGTTATTTATTATTGTTGTATATTCATTATACAAAATTTTGCAATAAAAATATCAATAATTTTTTATTGTGCAAATTTTAATATATTTAATTACCCGATATATAAGAATATTGGAGAATATTTTTATTCGGTATATTTATATATAATATAAGTCTGTATGATAAATGTATTATGAATAATTAAATACTAATAATTTAACGACAATGCTTGGCTTAAAATTTAAAATTGTATGTTCACTTTTTAAGCTGTAGTTTGCAATATATTAAGTTTAATTTGTGACATATAAATGTTACTAATAATTGTTTAATACATTATGGAAAAGTAATTATGTAAAACTAATTCTACATATAGTTAATATCAAATTATATAAAATTACGGTTTAAATAAACTAGTAAATAACTCCATACTTTTTTAAAGGTTTTTTTTTTTCTTTCATTTCTTTTTTTCTTTTTTAACACCCTAGGAGGATAGGGTTAAGGCAAGACCCCCAACCTGTGTATAAATATGTCCAATGTGGGCGGGAGAGTCACATGTCTACAAGTTCATACAGCGAACATAAACAAAAAGGCCAGAAACAAGAGAGGAAAACAAAAGAGAGGGAAAGAGAAAGAAATACAACGACCAAAGTGAAAAATATGAAAACTGGGCTAACAGATGCTCAGGAAAACAGTTTGTGCCACAAGTGGGCTAAAGCGCAAGAAACCAACACGACTAACCAAATCTGAAAGATGGGTAACCAAGTTGATTCATCGGTATAAGCGTGCGGAGTCGGAGAGGGATATCGTCTGGCTGAAGGATGCGCCTTTGGGAGTGGAGGCATCAATTAATGCAAGCTAAAAGGTCGGCGGGTCGGTTTCCCTCACGAAAAATGTGCGATATCCGATAGCGGACCGACTGGAGTGTGGATCTAATGCGCATAAGTGGATGTTGAATCTACCATGAACCCCGATGGCCTGATGTCAATAGGGTGACGACAGCGGCAACATCCAGCTAATCCAAATGTGAGAAGAGATAGGGGCTGCGATTAAGGATGTAATGTGTCGGGTCGGGTTCGAGTTTGTTTACCCTACCCAAACCCGACCCGTTACCCGGCTAGTAATCTTCGAGTTCGGGTTGGGTTTTACCCGACGGGTTAGTGGGTTTTCGTCGGGTAAACGGGTAACCCGAGTCTTTAATCTAGGCTTTACCCGACCCATCTCGTTTCATGTGAAAGAATAAAATAAATTTATTTCACAATTAATTATAATGTAACAAATAATTTATTAACTAAGTTTGACAATAAAACTATAAAAAATTATATTATTTTTGGAATAAATAATGAGATATAATTATTTATCTTTTATAGTCTATTTAATAATATAACATTTAAAAATTAAGTATATAATTTATTATTGTACAAATTAACAAAAACTGATAATAAAATTATAAAAAGTAAAATAAAATTTCAACGGTTAATCAAAATTATAATAGATAATCTAATTCTTAAAAATAACACATGACTTATATATATATATATATATATATATATATATATGTATATATATAAAATTCAATGGTTGCGGGTAAACGGGTCGGGTAATGGGTTTTCCTACTATACTCGTACCCTACCCGACCCGGGGTCCGGGTAGCATAAATCTACCCGAACCCGACTAGAAACCCTATCATCTCGAGTTTACCCGACCCAAAAATACGGGTAACCCGACCCTACGGGTTTTATTGACATCCCTAGCTGCGATTTGAAGACCGATCTGGAACGCCTGAATCTCTGTGTCATAACTCGAGGTAGCCTGAAGATGGGTGTGGAAAGCGATAATGAGGTCTCCACTATGATCCCTAATCAGGCCCCCTTGTCTAGCGGCTCCGGTAAGTCGGTCGTAAGATCCGCCGGTGTTTAGCTTAACCAAGGGGAACCGGGTCTCAGCCAAACAACGACTCTGGGACATAGGTGCTGGACAGACGTCAGCGGGGATGATATGAGGCGTTGTGGCGGCGTTCAGTCTGTCCAGTTTCAAAGATTCACACACTACAAGCAAATGATAAAATTCCCTAAGAACAAGGCATGCTGGGAGATCAAAGGAAGCCCCTGGCCCAACTTATATTATTAAAACAACTCATCACCACCCAACTTCATGGCCTACACGAAGGCATTAGCAACAGCCCAATAAACATAATTGGCCCAATTATCATAAGAGGCTTAAGTAAGTGTATGATGGTAATTTTAAGGGAGTATATTTTCTTCTTCTTCCTCATTAGCACGCATGGAAGACGTCGACTGCCATGCTTCCATCCAACAACTGATCATCGAGAGTCAGCCGTTGTACGCACCACAGGAGAAGACGTACGTCCACCATGTTTGAGCCGTCAGTCTGCTGTCCACTTGGGTGACGGAGTCACTGGAATCCAACCGGAGCAGCCATGGTACGCCATCAGGATGCCATATCCGATCACCAAAGACCAACGAGCTGACCACTGATCCCATTATTTTGTCGTCAACACCACCCTGAATGTTACTGAACATTGGAGAAGGCTGCCGAATTTTCTCGCCAATCTATGTGCGTCGGTTGAAGCTGCCGGAAATGTCACTTCTATTTAATGCTCGATTGTACTGCACAATAAACAATAATCGTGCCATGGTTATTATAAACGGGCCTAGAAATCCATTTAAAAGGGTTCAGAGAATTCTTCAAACAAAACACATATATTCTCTCATTAATTATTGCATTTAATACGAGCACCCGAGCTTAATTATGAAATATCCGACCTCAATATACCTTAATTTTTTCTGCATATTCAGCACCTTAAATCGAACTAAAAAAGTTAAATTACTTTGTTACAAGCACTAATCCAGTGCTTTCGGTTGATCAACCGTTGGTCAACAATGATATTATGGAAAGATTAATAAAGATTTGGTAAATCTTAATAATAAGAATATATTTTCCTTCCTTCAATTGTGTGTAAAAAAAAAAATAATGGGATCAATATTGAAACATCGCCATAGTTATGAGACTGGTTTTGATATTTTGTCATATCATCCGCCACGCAGGAGTTAAACGGACCAACTGTAATATATTAAGACACCTCAGTGACGTGTCATTTCCGGGCCAAAAAAGACAGTTACGACATCAATTGTCTTTATTTTGATTGAATATAAAAAGTTGGAGGATTAATTTAAAAAAGCATCATTCCAAATGGAACCAAAAGTGAAAAACACTGAAAATATTAGACTAGTTTTGATTTTTTCCCCATTTTTCCTCTTATTCTTTTTTATCTTTTCTAGTCTTGATCATTTTTTTGTTTTTTCAATTGAGATATAATTTTTACACATATATTCGTCATAATACATATATTTACATCCAGGTCTTCAATACAGTGTTCTGCAACTCTCCCTAATCACACCTCGGTCACCCGTGAGAACATTGGACTGTGACAGCTTGACAAACGCCGACGTGAATGCCCGGAAAAATGTCGCCACGTCAACGGCGAACGTCTCGACGTGCGGCCTCGTCCGCGGGTCCACAGGCATCTGGGCGTCGATATCGAGCACGCCGAGTCCACTCGCCGAGCCCACAAAATATTGGTTGTCGAACAGCACCGAGGTGAGGTCGTTCTGGACCATCCCCACTGCCTGGGCCGTGGGCCCCACGGGACACTGCACTCTCAACGCATTTAAGAATCCTGGTTTTGCGGCCGCCGGAATTTGAGCCTTATTGTCCTTCCGCCGCCCGTATAAACGGCTCTTGAGGTTGACGCAGTGTGTGGTTCCCAGTGTGTGGGCCCCTGCAAAATAATCCAGGAAAGTTATGCATAAATTCAATAATAATAATAATAATAATAATAATCTATATATATATATAATAAGAATTAACATTTACAAAAAATAGTAGCAAAAAAATAGGTCAGAATTTAATGCAGTCTATAAATAGTAAGTTTTATTATTTTTCTTATTTTTTCCTTAAAATTCATACAGCATTAAATGCTATCTTAAATTTCGGGCTATAGTTCATTTTATTATTTAAAAAATCCTGCTAAGATTTATTAAGTGTGTATGTTTTTATTTTTATTCTTTTCTTAGAAACAACGAACAAAATTAAAATCTCGGTCTCTATATTTATAAAATCTCAATTCAAAATATAACAAAAATTTTAGAATCCGGTCTTTATATTTGTGCCTTTAAAAAAAAATTGAACGCTAAAAATATTCTTTAAATTGCATAATCAATCAATTAATCTTAATTTTTTAAAAATTACTATGTTTATTTTTTATTAATATGCATAAAGTAAAAATAATTAATTCATCTTAAGATATATAATTTATAATCTTAATATACTATCATTTGGTATAGACATTTATTATATGAATCATAAGATATTTTTATTTCATAAATTTAAATATATTTAAAGAAAATAAGAAAATTTCTTCGGATCAATCAGGTGATTGAATTAGAGTACTACCCAGGTTGATTGAATTACTTTTAGGTGATATTTAAAATAGTAAAAAAACTTGACACAACTTGGCTGGTCCCAGGTGACTAAGTTATGAATCAGTTCGATCACACCAAATCGATTATTGAACCTAAATATAAATTTTATATTGAAAATATTTTATTACGTGAATGTGATATAGTCCAAATTTCAAATAATCGTATTAACAATACTTTTGTGACAACATGTTTAATGATTTATGAATATTTATATATCATTTTATTAATATTTATGTGAATAAAATTTTTTTTATTATAATATTTATTAATATACATTAAATATAAGGTTCTCAGAACTGGACCATCATCAAAACGATCAAGCTATTTTATTAAATCATTTGTGGTTTGTTCAGATTTTAATTTATAAATATTTTAATATATATATATATATATATATATATATATAGTATTTATTGTAATAAATTTAAACAAAATGTGTTACTTAGATATTTAAAAAATTTATAAATTCAAATGTTTAAACTAATTGATAAATAATTTATAAATCTCTATTTTATTTAAATATGCAATTTTATTTAAAATAATTTTAAATATAATAAAATTTATTTAAAAAATCGTGTCGATCCTTCAAATCCAACCGACTGGTGTTGACGGATTCAAAAGCAAATATCTTATTCAAGTGAACTAGACTGGTTATAAATCGGTTCTCCGTCCATTCGGTCGGACTGTGTCTAACCCGGTTTAATGTAAAAACAATACATATATCATGATTAATGTTATTTATATATTTAATTTATAATATAATCTTAATATTGTTTTCTCGTGCATTGCACGGGCCACGCACTAGTAATGGAAATGCTATCATCCCTCAATTTTGTATCCAATAGAATTTTGCCACTTCACCTTTATTTATGGAGGCTGTGAATAATTACTAACAGTGGCAGTTGTTTTGTTGCAAGGGATTAAACTAATAATTAAAATATAAATAAATAAAAATAGGCTAATTAATAAGTAATAATGTGTGTCACAGTGGTAGATTAAAAATCATAAGGAGGTAACCTAAAAATTAAAAGATAAATAATTAAAAATAAGCTAATAAAATGTGGCAGGTTAAGCGAATTTTGATTTAATATTTTTTAATTAATGGTATACATAGGCCTAATTGTAAATTTACCAAGTACAAAGGGCAAACGCAAGTTACGCAACACATACATAACATATGTGATGAGAAATGGGCAGCTCAATTTAATTTTCATTTTTTTTTCTTTTTTTTTNTGATATATAAATCATTATACATAAGACAAACAATTTATTAATTGTACTTATGTACCGAAAAAAAATAAAAAAAATTATTAATTGTACCTAAAATGGCGACGGATTCTTGTACGGACATTCCCTTTGCCGCGAAGATTCGGAGCATAGTATCGACATCAGTGTCGGCCGAAGGAAGTGAGGCATCAACGAGGGTGAGATTTGGAGGGTTTGGAGAATCCCTACGGCCTAAGCGGACATTAATTGTGGGCCCTCCGGATAAAGCAACAGCTTCTTGTGCGGCCAATACTATGATGTCCGAACACGACACCTTTCGCGGGCAAACAGCCTCCACCGTTGATTTCATGACCTCTATCAATTCTTTCTTTCGGATTCCAAAATTCTTGGAAGACGAAGTTTCAGAGAATTTGACCTTGCGTTCGTCGGGATCGAGAAGGATGGAGCCATCACAACCCTGTAAATTTTGGGCTCGGAATGATTAACTATATAGTACGACCGTTGTATAAGTACTTATCCTTTAGAGCGTGTTTGTATACAAATATATTTGCTCAAAATGAGTTTTTTTTTCTTTTTTTTGTTAATCAGAGTTAATTTTGAAAAGAGTGATATGATTAGTTTTTAGTGAGATTTTGATTTTATAAAAATAATTAAAATTGATTTGATGTAAAAGTAGGAGAGAAATGATATGAAGTGATAGTTAGTTAAAATTATGTGAGTGGATGAATTATAAATTAAAGTTGATGTGATGTGGAAGAATGATTGGTTGATACTATTTAATTATATTGATAATATTAAAAATAGTAGAGAAAAGACATAAAAACACACACATGTGTGTTTGTGTGTGTGTAAGAGAGAGAGAGAGAGAGACCTGAACTTGGCAGTCATGAAACATGAGCCTGAGAAGGGCTGCAGGGGTGGTGGGATCGAGCACAGAGGCCGACTCAACCTCGGCTCGGACAATATGCTCCAGCTGAGGGCAGGATTGGTGGTAGAAATCGTAAGACAAGCTGACACTTTCAGCTCGAAAAATCAACAACAGCAGGAAAATAACTGCACAGATCTTGGGTTCCATATTCTTCTCTCCTGTTGATCACTGCATGTACTAATTTTTTTTCATACGACAGACTATAGGGAAATTTAATGACGTTAGATTGTGTACTCATGTGACTACGTACTGCTGAACTCCCCACCTGCTATTTATAAATGCAATAATGCATCCATTTCATATATCGCATATTTTATTAGGGAAAATTGCAGGTAACTTGAGTATTATGACAATTTAGTCCAGTAACTTTTATAATTTCACAGAATGTCGTTTTCCTATTAAAAATCAAGCACAACGTGCCTAAAACTAATCTTCAACTTACTTATTTAAAAAAAAATAAGTAAGTTGTAATGGAAAATGCATCTGTAAGATATTCCAAAAAAAATTCCAACGGATATTTTATTGGTAAAGCTTTTATTGGAAAATTTCATTAATTATTCCAAGAGAGAACAAATTAAATTACATTGAAAATTTTATGAATTAAATCATTCCAATTACTATAATTTATTATTGTTTGAATCTCTGTTGAATTTTTTTACGGATCGTAATTTCAACCGTTGACAAAACTGTCTTTGAAATTGTAAAAAAATTAATAGAAGTTCCATTGGAAAACTAATTGCAGTGGCGGATCCAAAATAATTTTATATTGGGCACTATATAGTTAATAGAAAAAGTATACCATCAAAATAACATAATGCCATTACAGTTTATAAATTATACTTTACATAATTTGTCATGTTCTAACTTGTAATACATTCTAACACATCAGTACAGTCACAATAAGTTAAAAAGTATTTAATAAAAAAAATGACGATTTTTCTCAATTCAACATAAGAAAATCATTGAAAATAATATTTTTTTTTAAAAAAATTATAAACAAAAAATCTATGTTGTAGTATAGCTGACTCGGCAATATAATTGATTAATTTATAAATTACGAATATATAACTAGAATTCCCCTTGCATTAGTTATAAAAGACATAAAAAATATATTTTGAAGATATAGAAAAAAATATGTTGCAAAAGAGAGATTTGAAACTGTCATCAAGATTGATATAATATAATTAGAGGATAAAATTGTAATTTTGAGATATATTATATTTTCTTTAGTTGTGATGCCGCGTTTATGTTATAACATTAATAAAGTTATGAGTTGAATTAAATTATAATTGGTTCAGTTGTGAATTAATTCATTATGTATCTTTCGTTCTTTCAATTTCATTTTTAAAATAGGAGACATGATAAAAATTATGAAAAAATGTTCCCACAAATTTTTATTAGATTCCTTACGCTATATGCTTTAGGATGGAGGGTTGTGTCGGATCTATAAAATAAACATAGATCTGCTCATGATTCCGATAAAATATTTTTGATAGAATTAGATTCCTTGTGGCATATTTTTCTTACATAGATCCGAAAATTCATACTAAGAAAAAACAAAAAATGGATGTAAATATACAGCTATCACCAATATTAAGTATGTGAATTAAAAAGAGAAATAAACGAGTTCTATGTGAAATTTTATTCAACTAACACATAAATTCAATGAGTATGAAAATGAGTTAGTCGTTTAATATTTTTCTCAAACATTGGGAAAAAATTCTAAACCTTTTAATCTAATAATTAGTATAAAAGTACATTTTTTTATTAAATATATTATTTTATAAATATATAAATAAGTAATAATAAATTTTATTTTATCTTATGTGATTATATTAGTTGTTGTCTAATAAATAAGATACTTTGATAACAACGTCATTATATGAAACACGTACAAAAAATGATGCAATACATATAAATGTGCTAGAATTCTTTTAATAAATAAAGTATTATTTATCAATAGAAATAAAAACTAATAAAATAATAGTAGTTGAATTGAAAAAAGAAAACGTCTGAATTTTCTTAGACAAGTATGAATATCAATATTTAGAAACAAAAAATCTTTTAAAAATAATACTTTATTTGTTGCTAGCGTTTAAATATATAGACTCTGTAAGAAATTGGATCTCATAAATAATGATCCTATATTATCAATTTTTAATTTTAAATAATTAAAAATTTATAACTTTATAATACATAATGTAGATTTTAATAATGATTTCCTAATAATAACGTTCAAATATGACTAAGAGTCATAAAATAGAATTTTAATTCTTCTCATCTCAAATATTTTAACAAATGATATGCTTCTCAATGTTGTCTCATTGTTTTGTTTTGTTTGATTTTGTCATTGGTGAAGAATCAAGAAAGGAACTTTATCTCGAGTTTTTTTGAGTATTATGTATGATGCATAAAGTTGGACGATAAAAGCATTAAAAAGTTATTGGACACATAAATATTACAAATCCAAACGAATGTGAAAGATATGAAGATAAATAATTTTATAATCATTGCAAGAACTAGATGGTCAATGATTTGCAAACAATAGATTATATAGTTCGTCTATCTTCCAAATAAATGACATTGAAAATGAAATGTTGGAGCCTGATCAAAACATTTTTGAATGTTTGAATGAAGTTGACACTTCTTATAGGAATATTTATAATTTCATTGGTGTATTGTGCTTGAACATATGTGCATTTATTTTATAGTATGAACTTTTAGTTAATGTGTGATGATTTAAGAAAAAAACCTCGGGAAAAGTACATGTAATAGATATTTTGAATAGTCAACTTTTATTTAGAGATGAAATTCATTCCCTTCCGTAGGGAGATACATCCATGGGGTAGGTATCAATAATTTGTCGATATATATAGAGAGAGTAATTTAATAGTTTATACAATGATAAAAAATAATCAATAATTTTAATGGCACGATTTATTATTTTGCAGATATATTCATGCATGGTAAAAGTAGAAATATAAAGATAAAACAACCATGAAGTTTCACTATATGTTTGGTTAGAATATTTCTTAAGTGTTCGAATAAAGTAGACGTTTTGCCAAATGAATTAAGATGAATTTTGCAATATTATTGAATCAATAATGCTTCTTATGAGGACGTCAAAACCAAAATGAAAGAGAACGCTATCGAATCATCTAACATAAACAAATAAAAGAACTAATGCATGTATAATATATATTAGTCATTATTTAGTTATTTAGTGTTTTTGTTGGGGTTGTAATATGTTATTTAATTATTTTTATATTAGGACATCGTTAAGTTATTTTAGAAAAAATAATTTGTTTCTATATTTTGTTTCATTAATTTGTTCTACATTTTGTTTCATTCTTGCAAGGATATATTTAATAAATTAATTTATTTATTTTACAAAACTTAATCGGCAAAAAACGATTACATTATGAGCTCATTTGTTCTACGTTTTATTTCATTCTTGCAACGATATTTTTAATAAATTAATTAATTTATTTTACTAAACTTAATTGGGAAAAACTATTTGCCACCACGCGCATCGCACGTGCACTTTACTAGTACAAAAAAAAAATTGTATAACTTTGGCAGAAAATGGAAATTATATAACTTTAATACAAAAAAATTGTGCGGCCAGCCACAAAATTACACGAGATGAATTTATATAACATACGGAAAATGAAAATTAATTTCTACTAATTACTGTTAATAAGAACCATAGGACTTGCTAAGTTAGATTATATATTGTAGTGTGAAAATTAGAAGTTCTATAATTTCAACTCCGAATTATGAACCTGAGTTTCATAAAATTGACCTTTCATGCGCAGTGGTCATTAAAAATTTAAAATGTTCGGCGGTCCTTAAAAGAAACACTACAGTGCAGTTGGATGAGAAGCTGCCTACTGACATGTGCTATTTAATAAATTCATGACGTATCTATCCATATACATAGACTCAAGATAATAATAGACTCTCGAAAGTTCTGTCTTTTATTAAACTCAAAATTTGTGGGTCACTCGAATTTTGCTGATCAGATCATTATTAGATATTATATATCATACATATGGATTTATTTTGGCATTAATTTATATACAAAATTTGAGATGGGTGGGGTTGAAATTTTAAATGCCACATGCTTATACTTAATGCTTCAATGATTGTTGCAGTACCACAAGCATAGAACCCTTGTGGTTTATATATATCTTCTTAACATTGATCTTAATGGCGTTTGTACGTTTGGTTGGTTGTTTGCAATTGAAGGTTCTGGGGCCTATGCATATATAATTTCGTCAATTTGTTGGATAGATAGCATTGGATAGAAGGTGTGTGTTAAATTTTTTTTGTTATATATATAGATCTTAACTTAACTCACTACAAAAAAATGATGAAATTCCAACGGAAATATATTCCAATAGAATTCCAACGGCAATTCCAATAAATATTTCAATACTATTATTTCTGTTGGAATAATTCCAACGGAAATTCCAACAAAAATATTCCGTTGAAATGAGTTTTTCAGTGGAATATCCATTGGATTTTGACGATTCCAACGGTGGTGGAAATAAAAATTCAACGGAAATTGCATATTCCAACGGAAATTCCTACGGTCAAAAGCCGTTGGAAATATAGCCGTTGCAAATCATAAAATTCCATCTAAAATTCCAATGAAAAATATATTCCAACGGAATATTTTCGTTGAAATTTCCGTTAGAATTATCCCAACGGAAGCTATACCATTGGAATATCCGTTGGAATTTCCATTAGAATATATTACCATAAGATTTTTCGTTGGAATATAACAATTTTTTTTGTAGTGACTGAATAAAATCTCTCGTTGGGAGCTCAAGATTCTCTCGTTGGGAGCGATCTCAGTCTTTGATTCTAGCCTAGATTTCTCAAGTGGTCAGCTGGTTTCGTGAATTACAGATTCTGTCGTCGTTGATAGTGTTGCAGAGGAACTATTTCCAGTCGTTTCCTCTCCCATTTTTAGGGCTCCACTTATGGCGGGCAACTTTCATACTCACCCTGATGATGAGCTATCATCTAGGTTGAATGATTTTTCTTTGTCCGAAAGGGAAATTAACGTAATAGATATTGCCAAGGAAGATATTCGATTGAGCGATGATGAATGCCAAAGAAGTTTATTTGGGAAAGTGATAGGGGACAGAGTCGCGGGTTGGTTCGGTGTAAAACGAGCAATGACACAAATATGGCGACTGAACCAGCAGATGGAGGTGAAAGAACTCAGCCCGAACTACTTTCAGTTCATCTTCCAAAGCAAAGAAGATAAAAACCGGGTAGCGGGTGGTTCAAATTG